TTTTGAAATCTGAAATCCGATAAATATCCGTTTGCATTCAGAACCAAAAACGCCCATGTCTACTGTGAGAAGCCTAAAGTAACCATGTCTATTGAGAGGTTTTAAACTGACTTCAAATAGGAAGAGCCTACTTGTCGCACAGTGAGATATATTTCAATGCCAGCTGGGCTGTCACGTAAAAATTTTAATAAGTGGGACTTCTAAATCTCGATTCAATTAAAACTACATTTAACCCATAGAATGCCAATGTTAAAATTAATTCAGTAACGGGCTTACTCGTAAAACGTAAATAATATAAACGTAAAATGCATTGATTACCTACTTCAAGCACATATTAAATTTACAAAGCCTTAAAACGCTTAAAATAAAATTGAATTATTAAAAATACAAAAGCCGTTAAAAATACCCCTGACAAGTGGATGATGCAGCGCCGCCTTAGTTGATACTACTGCATATTGCACTCTAATGTGCACTAGTATTTAAAAAAAAAACATTAAAAATTAATAAATTATACATACTCTTAAATTATATATAGACTACACTTAAAGTCAAATGTAAATATTAACATTTATATTAGATATGTATGGCCAAATACATGTCTAATAAATCTGAGTTGGGATTTACTGCTCAGGTTAATATAATGGGCTGCAACCAGAGAAAAGCTCTTGGGGTATTCTATTTTTTCCTTTACCCGCAATCGAACAAGTAATATCATATAATAATAAAAGCTTATTAATGTGGATAAAATATAATATCCTAAAGAGAAAACGTTTTATTCCGCGCGGGTGTCCGATCGTATGATCACGTGGTAAGTGTCATTTGCAGTGCCATCACGTAATGTTCCCTGATATAAATCCGACGACGCAATGCTCAGCTTTCGTTTTTGATTAACTTGCACAAATACAATTACGGTATCTTTTTCATTAGTATCGAGCGATGGTGAGAAAATAATAGAATGTTATTTTCGCCTTTTTTGTCGTACGCGACAATCTGATATATATATCTATCAGTTGTCGATTGATATTTGAGTAATAAGTACAGATAATTTGAATAAATTTTCAGGAATCTATTTTTTTTATTACTTCTTACAGGTACCTCCAGGTGCATTCAAACACGCTACTTTTTGGCTTCCAAGGTACATTCAACAGGAAATCAACAAATGCCTTTTTAAGGACAAAGAAGGATAGCTACTATCTAGCTACTTCCAAACACAACTTTCCTGAGAGAACTTTTGAGGATAACATAATGTAAACAACGTCCGCTTCCATTCACAATGTCACAAAAGGTGGTTCCATTAAGATGCCCCCGGAATAAGATGAACTTCAGTGCACCTTATCGCAGGACAGTATTCAGATCTTAAATTAACTTCCCTATTACAAGACTATGCAAGTTGGACACGAAATGTACTTAATCAGCTTGACGTTTTCTGGGACTCACCCGATGAGATTCAATCGTATTTAAAGAAGTATTTAACCAAAACTGTAATTTTTGATTTATATAATTTTCTTAAATTGTATGATATTTACCTTTAAATATTTAAATCTAAAGAAAATATATCTAGAAAAAATTCCACGTGGACCAGGCAGCAGACGGGACTCGAACCCGCACCCTTCGCAATCCGGGCGAATGCACTGACCAATTATGCTACCGCGGCCCTCACGGACCGCGTCGAAATTTTTTCTAGCTATTCTTAAGCTGCAAGGCAGCGCCATCTCTTCACATTATAGGTAAACCCACAATGTCAAATGAATACTTTTACAAGTATTAAACATTTGAAAGAAGAAATAGCATATTCTTTAGATTTAAACATCAAGCAGTTACATGCTTTAAAAATAATAAAAATTATAACTATAATTGCTATTTCTTCTTTCAAATGTTTAATACTTGTAAAAGTATTCATTTGACATTGTGGGTTTACCTATAATGTGAAGAGATGGCGCTGCCTTGCAGCTTAAGAATAGCTAGAAAAAATTTCGACGCGGTCCGTGAGGGCCGCGGTAGCATAATTGGTCAGTGCATTCGCCCGGATTGCGAAGGGTGCGGGTTCGAGTCCCGTCTGCTGCCTGGTCCACGTGGAATTTTTTCTAGTTATATTTTCTTTAGATTTAAACATCAAGCAGTTACATGCTTTAAAAATAATAAAAATTATAACTATAATTGCTATTTCTTCTTTCAAATGTTTAATACTTGTAAAAGTATTCATTTGACATTGTGGGTTTACCTATAATGTGAAGAGATGGCGCTGCCTTGCAGCTTAAGAATAGCTAGAAAAAATTTCGACGCGGTCCGTGAGGGCCGCGGTAGCATAATTGGTCAGTGCATTCGCCCGGATTGCGAAGGGTGCGGGTTCGAGTCCCGTCTGCTGCCTGGTCCACGTGGAATTTTTTCTAGTTATATTTTCTTTAGATTTAAACATCAAGCAGTTACATGCTTTAAAAATAATAAAAATTATAACTATAATTGCTATTTCTTCTTTCAAATGTTTAATACTTGTAAAAGTATTCATTTGACATTGTGGGTTTACCTATAATGTGAAGAGATGGCGCTGCCTTGCAGCTTAAGAATAGCTAGAAAAAATTTCGACGCGGTCCGTGAGGGCCGCGGTAGCATAATTGGTCAGTGCATTCGCCCGGATTGCGAAGGGTGCGGGTTCGAGTCCCGTCTGCTGCCTGGTCCACGTGGAATTTTTTCTAGTTATATTTTCTTTAGATTTAAACATCAAGCAGTTACATGCTTTAAAAATAATAAAAATTATAACTATAATTGCTATTTCTTCTTTCAAATGTTTAATACTTGTAAAAGTATTCATTTGACATTGTGGGTTTACCTATAATGTGAAGAGATGGCGCTGCCTTGCAGCTTAAGAATAGCTAGAAAAAATTTCGACGCGGTCCGTGAGGGCCGCGGTAGCATAATTGGTCAGTGCATTCGCCCGGATTGCGAAGGGTGCGGGTTCGAGTCCCGTCTGCTGCCTGGTCCACGTGGAATTTTTCTAGTTATATTTTCTTTAGATTTAAACATCAAGCAGTTACATGCTTTAAAAATAATAAAAATTATAACTTTAAATATTTGTTACACTTGGACTTTAAACCATTCGAAATGTTTTGATATTTTTTGGTGTAAATAAAAAAAAAAAAAAATATACTGACTTTTTGAAGTTCGTAAATAAATTGACGTTTCCTAGTACAGCCGATTATACTTAAATAAATAAGTAAATCCCATCAAAAATATAAAAGTGAAATGAGAGGCAAGATCAATATTTATGATATATGCCTTGGTTGTTGACTTCAACGACAAAAGAAGTAAGATCTAAATGGGCGCCAAGTTTAATGGTCAGTCCTGAAATTCATTTATAACAACATAAAATCTATCTTCTCAAATATGTAAAAAAAGTAACTGACTAATTGACCGACTGACTGACATATCAACGCACAGGCCAAACCGCTAAGTCTAGAGACTCCAAATTTGGCACGTAGGTTCCTTATAAGGTGCACTAGCATCCCTAGACCGATAGATAAGTGCTGAAAGGATTTTCAAAATTCGACTCCGTAGTGTTAATTAAAGGATGAAAGTTTATATAAAAACTCTTATTACTTGAGTTAATAGACTTGAAACTTGGCACAAATACTTCTAAATAAGTTGTTTTTTTCGTAATCAGCGTCCTGATAAACCATACAAACAATGCCCATGTAGATTTTGAGACTTTGTCACCCCATTTTCAACTTAGGGGTTGAATTCTGAAAAAAACGTGAAACAATTGTTTTTCCCCATACAAAATTTAGACTCCCGTTTTACCCCCTTCATCATCATCATCATCAGCCTATTAATGTCCTCACTGCTGGGGCACAGGCCTTCCCTATTAATGGAATAGGGATATTGGTCTATGACCCACCACGCGGGCCCAGTGCGGATTGGTGGGTGCTAACGACTGCAGATGTAGCCGGGACTAACGGCTGAACGTGCCTATCCGATGCACGGAGGAGCTTCAGATAGTAATTTTTGGTCACCCATCCAATGACCGACCACTGCGAAAGTTGCTTAAGTTCAACGATCGCAGCCGAACGCGCTAACCACTTGCACCATCGAGCTCGTCATTTTACCCCCTTGTGGAGGGAAATTTGGAAAAGTCCATAAGGAACCTACGTTTCGTTCAATTAAAATTCATCCATATAAAACTTCGACAACCTTAATCCCCTTTTTAGTAGGTAGGGTAGTTTAGGCAAACCAAAAATGGCACACTTTATCATTTATTCAGATAAGTATTCATACTAAGTTTTAATTGTATTAACTCAAAGAATAAGATTTAACATACAAACTGATCCCTTTTTTACCCTATTAGGGGTAGATTTTTGAAAAACCCTGATACACGTTATTCTTTTTTCTGGTCTTTAGTAAAAATATCATTTTTAGAAATGCGCGTTAATATTCATCCATATTAAAACTTCGACACCCTCCCAATCCCCTTGAGGGGGTAGTTTCGGAAAACTAAAAATTACAAATTTTATAATTTATTTAGAAGTATTTGTGCCAAGTCTTGAAGGGGTCCTACTAAAAAGGGGATTAAGGTTGTCGAAGTTTTATATGGATGAATTTTAATGCGAGGTTGAATTAACCCGAAACGTAGGTTCCTTATGCACTTTTCCAAATTTCCCTCCACAAGGGGGTAAAATGACGAGCTCGATGGTGCAAGTGGTTAGCGCGTTCGGCTGCGATCGTTGAACTTAAGCAACTTTCGCAGTGGTCGGTCATTGGATGGGTGACCAAAAATTACTATCTCAAGCTCCTCCGTGCATCGGAAGGCACGTTCAGCCGTTAGTCCCGGCTACATCTGCATTCGTTAGCACCCACCAATCCGCACTGGGCCCGCGTGGTGGGTCATGGACCAATATCCCTATTCCATTAATAGGGAAGGCCTGTGCCCCAGCAGTGGGGATATTAATAGGCTGATGATGATGATGATGATGATGAAGGGGGTAAAACGGGGTCTAAATTTTGTATGGGTAAAAACAATTGTTTCACGTTTTTTTCAGAATTCAACCCCTAAAAGTTGAAAATGGGGTGACAAAGTCTCAAAATCTACATGGGCATTGTTTGTATGGTTTATCAGGATGCTGATTACGAAAAAAACAACGATTTTAATATTCAACGTGGAGGACGTGAAATACCAACTTAAGGGTTCCATTTTTCCATTTTAAGATATGTAACGAGACTATACTGTTATCGCCGAAGAGATTAAGGATCCCGCCCACCCTAATATTTTTTACCCTAGAATCCTAGATATCTATGAAACTTCGTCAATGCGGTCTCTTATTCTCTAAAATATATGAGCATCGAACCGACGATCGGCAGCGGCGGGGCGTGATGAAGAGAGGGATTACCTCTCACTTTTTTTACTACGCTCTAAACTGTGTGCGGACTGGCTAATCGTACTAAGGGAAAATGAATAAAATAGATTCATACCTAGCATTTTTAAAAACTATACGTTAATGATAATAATTAGACATTAATTTATTTCTTTAGATAAGAAAGTATGAAAAAACATTAACATAATCGTTCCCGACATTTTGCATTATAATGCTATTAAAATGTCATCAACTTTAATATTGCTAACTAAGATAAGTACTTTCAGGGTGAATGTAATAGTAATTGAAATTCATTAAAATCTAAAGGATTGCCTTATCCTTAAGTTTACTAGACAGCAAAATATGTTTATATAATTCATTGGAACATGTTCCACAAATATGGACGAAGTTGTAAGTACGATTGCCACAGACATAGAAACGCCGAATTTAAATGCGCTGAGTGCGACCTTCCAAAGCTGCTTCCAAACCACTTTATCCAGCAAAATGCAGCAGTAGTTTTTCGTACACAGAAATTGATGAACTTTCAAATGAGCATTGTTTTGAGGAGGTCGATGATACTATATACCGCATTTTTGGGGAGCCATGCTGTTGCCAATATTAAGGCCAGTCCTGAGGGCTTGCAGTACTGCATTTTTGCGTAGTCCTATCCTCTGTTTCGAGGAACAAGCGAAACCTGAGAGTCTTTACATTTCTAGAAACCGTATTTTTATTGATTAAATTAAAATTTCTAATAGTGTCGCCAGGTTTTTTCCATGGCAGCATCTTCATTTCGCGTTCTCCTATTAATGACGTGTCCGTGTTTTAATTATACCTATATAGTATATGTTATATCATCTGTAAGTTATATCATAGTAGGTTTAGTGTCGAGAGCTCTCGTACTAATTCATAAAAGACAAAAAAAATGTGAAGAGATTTTTTAGTTATGAAATCTGCAAAACTACAAATCGCAATGACATAAACCTCTGATACTTACCTACAAAAATTAAATGTGTCTAGTAACTCAACAATGTTGCAGAATATTTATCTCAATAATTTCAATTTCTTTTCCTTTGTTAACATGATAACCTATAGATGCACTTACTCCCTGTAAACATAGTGCTGTGTTTAGTATAAAAGGGGTATGTAACTATGGAATATCACAGTTGAGATCCCGACGGGTCGGCTGCAGCATGAGGGCAATCGTTTTACTGGTATTGGGCTTTGCGGCGATAGCCGCGGCCCGTCTAGTGGATGACAACACACTAGGTAAGATCATCGCTATATTATTGTGCTTCCCTTATTACTTAGAGGAGCTCGATGGCTCAGGTGATTAGCGCGTTCGGCCTGCGATCGTGGAAGTTTCGCAATAGTCGGTCATTGGATGGGTGATCAACAACTTATTACCTCGAGAACCTTCGTGCTTCGTAAGGCAGGCTAAGTCGTTGGTCCCAGCTGCATGTTTAGTCGTAAAGACAAGACAGCTGCAGCTTAATAGCACCCAATACGCACTGGCTGATGGGTCACGGCCCAATCTCCCTATTTCATCGATAGAAAAGGCCTGTGCCCAGCAGTTGGGACTAGAATAGGTAGGTGATGATACTTTGCTTCACTTTATTCCTTTATTATTTGAGTCGTTATTTTGTATTAGTGGGAAAAACTTATATTTTTATTATTTTTTTGACAGTTTCCTTGGATATCAAACAAAGACAAATATTCATCCTTAAGCTATTAAACCATGTTACGGAACCGGTTATGTATAAGGAAGTTGAAGAAATCGGTAGGAACTACAACATTGAAGAAAACATTAGCGCTTACACTGTAAGTTGACAGTTTCATTCAAACAGAGTTTAAGTTTCGAACTTATAATTTTCAATGAAAATAATTAGATTTTTCTTACTCACAGAAAACAGATGTTGTGAAATCGTTTGTCAACAACCTCAAGTTTGGCACACTACCTCGTGGAGAGGTCTTCACTATTCACGTAGACCGACAGCTTAAAGAAGTAATAACAATGTTCCACATGCTCTATTATGCTAAAGATTTCGTCACTTTCATCAAGACCGCATCCTGGATGCGTTTGTACCTGAACGAAGGCATGTTTGTCTACGCCCTCACTGTAGCCGTCAGACACCGGGAAGACTGCAAGGGTATAATTCTACCCCCACCCTACGAAATATATCCATACTACTTCGTTCGCGCTGATGTCATCCAAAAGGCTTACTTGCTCAAAATGAAGAGGGGCCTTCTAGATCAGAAACTCTGCGATTTCTACGGAATCAGAAGGTCTGAGAAAGACATCCTGATCATAGATGAAAACATTTATGATAAACGAGTTGCCCTTAACGATAACGACAAACTCAGATACTTCACTGAAGATATCGACCTTAACACCTATTATTACTACTTCCATGTGGACTATCCATTCTGGATGAAAGATGAAGTATTCGATAAACTCAGATTCAGACGTTTCGAGCTTACCCTGTACATGTACCAGCAAATACTTGCACGATACTATTTGGAGCGCTTGTCTAATGGTTTGGGCGAAATCAAGTCTTTGTCATTGCGTAAACCTATTCAGAACGGTTACAATCCGTGGTTGGTGACCCATAATGGTGTCCAGTTGCCGATGAGACCCAACAACTATGTTACGTTACGAGATGATAATAATGCTTACGTCCGGTTTGCTGAAACATACGAACAGATCATTCAGGATGCTATTATCAAGGGATTCATAGAAGTATGTATAAGCTCGTATTTTTTTATTATTTTACATTGAACGAATAAACAATATTAACCTTATTCATATTTTTAGATCAATGGTGTAAGATTGGAATTGACTAAGGTTGAAGACGTAGAAACACTCGGAAAACTCATCTATGGCAAGATTGATAAAAGCATAGACAAGGTGCAGGTTGATGCTTACCGTTACTTGCTCATCATCATTAAGGCTGTTCTTGGTCCACAAAATCTTTTCACCAGTGACAAGTATGTTTTTTACTATGCTCGATAATTTTATTGTAGTTTATTATTTGTTATTTTTATTTTAAATAAAGCAACAAATGTGGTTAAGAGATTTTATTTTGTTACAGATACTTTGTGAATCCGTCCATTCTAGATAATTACCAGACTGCTCTGCGTGACCCAGTATTTTATCAGCTTCAGAAGCGTCTTGTCGGATTAGTGCGCCTGTTTAAACGGCGATTACCATGCTACAATAGAGATGACCTGTATTTCCCTGGTGTGAAGGTCGACAACGTGGTCAGCGACAAGCTGGTTACTTACTTTGATGACTATTTGATGGACATGACTAATGCTGTTATTCTGAGTGAAGATGAACTAAAGAAGACCTCTTCAGATTTGAAATTCCTTGTACGCAAGCGTCGCCTTAATCATCAGCCATTCAAAGTCAGCATTGACGTTCTATCGGACAAAGCCGTAGACAGTGTTGTCAGAATATTCTTGGGACCGAAATACGATCACCTAAACCGATTGATCGACATCAACCAGAATCGTATAAATTTCGTAGAACTCGACAGTTTCATTTACAAATTATCAACTGGAAAAAACACGATCATCAGAAACTCGTTGGAGATGCATAACCTTGTCCGTGATAGGATATTCACACGTGATTTGTGGAAGAAGGTTGATACCATCACCGATTTCAGGGACCTCCTAGTTAAGGATCTTAGGAACTACCATACCGGCTTCCCAACAAGATTGCTCCTTCCTAGAGGCACAGTCGGCGGTTTGAAGATGTGGTTGTACGTCATTGTGACACCATTGAAGTTAGTAGACAATGTGGACCTAAACATCTTGGACGTAAACAGCAAAGAATTAGTGGTAGATTTCAGATCGACAACTTTGCTGGACAAGAGGCCTCTTGGCTTCCCGTTCGATCGTCATATTGACTTAGCCAAGTTCTATACGCCTAACATGAAATTTATTGATGTGACTATCTTCCATAAGAAACAGGTGTGTGACATGAGAACTCGTTGGGATAGATATGTCTTGAGACAGTACAATATGATCACGGATAAAAACGCTTTCGATGAAGCGTATTTCGTAGATACTGATCTCAACAAAGCGGCTGTAGACCGTGATGTCACCCTTTGATGTATGAGCATGATGGAATAATTGAATAGATTGATTAAGCGATGACTGAATTTATTAAAATAGCAATACAGAAAATGTAAAAAATAAAAGTAAACAAGTAGTTACAGACTTTTCTTTACGGTCACATAGAACTAGTTTTATATAAATACGAGCAGCCGCCCTCAATTTCGTCCATGTTAACTTTTTTTTGTGAGAATCCCTCAGGACCTTATATTTTTCAGATATAAGAGTATCCTATATTTCATTTCAGGTTATAATCTATATGCATATAAATTTTATCCAAATCCGTTCAGTGGTTTTTGCGTGATTAAGTTACAAACTTTCACATTTATGATATTAGTAGGATACCTACATAAATAAAGTAGGATCCCTAATAAAAATGAGTTTCGAGTTAATCAAATGCGCGTTAAAATTAAATCATATAAAAAAATTCGGCATTCTCCAGTCCCCCCCCCCCCCCCTTATTACGTACTTTAAGCAAACCAAAAATGGCAAATTTTATAATCTGGCATAACAATAACAAAGTAGCGGCTGCCCGTGACTTCGACATTCTTTACACAATCTTTCATCCCCTTTTCCCTCTTAGGGGTAGATTATCGAAAACCCTTAATACACGTTATTCTTTATTTCTGGTCTTTAGTAAAAATACCAAGTTTTGAGTTAATAGAAATGCACGTCAAATTTCATTTATATAAAAACCTTCGACACCCTCCCAATACTCTTTTAGGGGGTAGTTTCGGAAAACTAAAAATTACAAACTGTAATTTATTTAAATACTTAAGTATTCATTCATTACAATACTAAGGTATTGTTTCTAGTCTATTAACTCAAGGAATAAGATTTTTCATACAAACTTTCATCCCCTATTTTATATCCTTCAGAGGTGAATTTTGAAGAATCATTTCTTAGTGCACCCCTAGACCTCATAAGGAACCAGCGTGCCTTTGGAGTCTCTAGACTTAACGGTTTAGGCTGTGCATTGATATGTCTGTCAGTCAGTCAAACAGTCACTCGGTTACTTTCTTCTTTTATATTTTTAGACTAGTGGCCCGCCCTCGCTTTGCTTCGGTGTAGAGCTGTAGTGTAGACTATAGTTTTTGTTCTCAGGCTTGTATTATTTTTCGTAAAAAGTATAGGATAAAAAATGGTTATTGTGGGTTATCGCTAAGAGATAGATATATACCATCGAGGACTTTTTTGTAGATCTTTTATAAGGTGTTCAGTATTGTAGTACATTATATTTATCTATCTCGTAAGATTCAGTCAGCGTTTGAAATGTAAGCGCAAAAAAATGTGTTTATTGACGACCTTACATTAAAAACCTCTAAAATTTATCAGTGTTTCTCTACTATATTATGCATGTATTATGCATATAAACCTTCCTCTTGAATTACTCTATCTATTAAAAAAACCGCATCAAAATCCGTTGCGTAGTTTTAAAGATCTAAGCATACATAGGAACAAACAGCGGGAAGCGACTTTGCTTTATACTATGTAGTGATTATTTACAATCTTACATTAAAAACCTCTAAAATTATCAGTGTTTCTCTACTATATTATGCATGTACTATACATATAAACCTTTCTCTTGAATTACTCTATCTATTAAAAAACCGCGTCGAAATCCGTTGCGTAGTTTTAAAGATCTAAGCATACATAGAGACAGACAGCGGGAAGCGACTTTGCTTTATACTATGTAGTGATGTGTGCAGAAGGTACACCCTTTCTTACCTAAAAGTTAACTATAATAAAAACAGGTTGCTAACCCCTTTAGGGTTCCGTAGTCCTGACAAGGAACCCTTGTCGTTTCATCATGTCTATCCCCGGGAGCTGTAATTTTGTGGAGATAATTATGTATATTAATCAGGCCGACAAAACGGTGGAATAAAATGTTGAAAAATCTTTGTTTAGGATAGCTCCCCGAGATGTAACCTGTGAATTATTTTTTATTTCATTGTCTACCCCATCGTGTAGGATATCTTTAAATACGTCCTTTTAAATTACTTAGGGGTTTCTAAGACTATTTTTCGATTAAAGGATCCGTTTGCGAAATATTGAACTTTAAAGTGCTAATTTTAGTTTAGGTAGGGCGTCCTCGCACTAAAAGCTTAAACTATTGGCTTGAAAAACCTGGAAAAATTCATGATTATATGAACTATTGTGCTATTCATGAAATTTTCAGAAAAAATATAACGGTTAAGATATATTTGTTAGTTTGAAAGTAATAGTCGTTCAACTTTGGTTAGAGAATTTTGTTACGTTTTGAATATTTCTTAGAAGAAAACATTAATAGTGACATAGATGAAGTTATTGTAGTGTAAATCCTTGCATTAAAAAGCAAATAAAAAAAACTTTTTATAAATTTATTTTCTTAATTTCCGATACAGAAAATAAAGACTCTTGCTGAAACATATAGTGGTAACGACAGGCACCCTACAGTGCGCGTGGCAAGACTTGGCCGGTTTTTATGCACTAGATTTTGCTTGGAGCCCTATACAAATATACAGGGCATCCCACGGATATGTCACACGGAGGAAAGCATATTTAATATTGAAGATAGGATATTTTACTGAAAGAAGAAATCATTTTGTTTTTAATAATAATTTTAATCGCCTGCTACAACTGGGAATCAAACTCAAGAAATTAAAAAAAAAATCATCACGTATTTTATGATAACCATCAAAAGGGTTAATCATAAGGGTTATTTTCTCTTAAATAACATAGAATTTTAAATGAAAGGAAGATCTTAATTTTTAAAATTTTGTTCAGTAAAATTTCCTCTTAAGTACTTTTCCGTGCTTCCAACAGCTAAAGTTATCAAATGATAAAGTGAGCAGGTACTAGTTAGTAAATACTTTGACATCAACGTTTTAAAGTTGTGTGATGTTATTTAGGAAAAAAAATCCTTATCATTAACCCCTTTGCAATGGTTATCATAAAATACGTCATGTGTTTTTTTCCAAATTTTATGAGTTTGATTCCCAGTTGTAGCAGGCGATTTGAAAAAAAACTGTGAATGCAGGTCCAGTTTTTATTAAAAACACAATGATCTCTTCTTTCAGTAAAATATCCTATCAGCAATATTTAATATATAATAATAAGGAAAGAATCCTTCCGTGTGACACACCCGTGGGACGTCCTGTATAATACAGGAAGAAAAAAACAGCCATTGCTGAGTTTCTTGCCGGTTCTTCTCAGTACAAGTTCTCCTGCCGTAGATTTGCGAACCGATGGCGTAGATTTTCAACATTCACAAGTGCTTGTGAGCAAGCCTAGACTGAATTAACAATATTGAATTTTTTAACAGGCGGAAAACTATAATGTCCGATGCACTTCGCAGTGTCATCGTCATGGGCCGAGGCCAAGAAAGCCGGGAGACTCACATCACTAACAGAACGCACCCCAATACCCCCGTATCGGATTGGCAAAGATGCCTGTTTCCATTGGTTGCCACTCAGGGAGACATTCAAAATTGTCTGAACCGCATTTTTTATGACAGCGTCAAAAGAAGCAATATCATCACGGAACATCCAAACTGGAGCCGTCCGAAGGAGGTATGTTATTTTTGGGATGGCAAAACATTTCTGCAAGAGGACTAGAGCAACGTGAGGAGCAATGGCCTCTAGACGCTCGCTGGCCAGCAAGAGAACATCCTTACGAGTTTTCATGGCCTCCGGAACTGCAGATGGAAAAATAGGAGCACCAAGCAAATTAAAAGAATCTTTATTGAGCTCCTTGAGGCCCGGAAGCAAACAAGTGAAAGACGAGAAGGATTGAGATGACACCGAACTACAGGAAAAGAACTCGCATTTTGTAAAATTTACCTCTAGACCTAACTCCCCCAGACGAGGTAATAAGAAAGCTAAGTCCCTTTCCACTTCTTCTGGTTTACCCCCAATGGTCCCATCATCTAAGTACCAGATGTTGAGGGGCGATTTGAGCTCAGTGATCACTTTGTGAATGGCAAGGCTAAAGGCGAGGGGGCCGAGGGGGTCTCCCTGTTGCGCACCAACCTGGGACAGGATTAAATCAGTGCCAACATATAGGTTAGAAGGTATATGATATGCCTGGTGGAGGAAAGGATAAAGCTCAGGGATATTCTCCATCACCTCATGAAGCATGACGTCCCTTTCAAGAGTATTGAAAGCGTTCTTCAAATCTAGCTTAACTATCACTCCATCCACATTCTCCGGATCCATTGCAAAAGTCCGAACCGCATGTATTCCCGCCTCACAACCTAGACGTATCCCAAAACCTAATTGATGTGGTTGAAGGTAGGAAGCCATTTGCTCCTTCACAGATCGGCATCCCAGCTTGGCCACTAAGCGTCGAAGCACACTCCCTACTGCGATAGGTCTCAACCCACCCTCCTTCTTCTTCAAGGCACATAGTGTCGCCCCATATAAATAGGGACACACATCAGGATTCAATTGCCCACTGAGCAAAAAATTACTGAGCCTAGTTAAGGCTTTAATCAAGCGCTGACCATTATCTCCCGCAGAACTAGAAATCAATTCCTTCAAATGGGAAGGACGAATGCCATCTAAGCCGGCAGCTGATCCATTATAAAAAGAGTTAACAGCCAGCACCACATCCTCCTCCGTCACCAACAACCCCGGAATGCACGAGACCGGCTCCGGTGGAAAATGAAGAAGACGGGACGGATGCGGATGTTTTGATTGAAGGGCAGCAACAGTCTCCGGTCCCGGCGGTGCAATGGAGTCTTCGCTCATGAGTAACCGAACCGCTCCCCTCAAATCACCCTCGTGGACTTTAGACTCAATTACCCTTGTTAGTGACAGTGGCTTCCTCACTAACAATGCGCAGTCAGCGGAAGAAAAACAACGGACTACACCTACGTTTACTTTTACTTTAGAAGTAAGAGAGCCATTACCGGCCTTTTCGGGGGTTCTAAAGGCAGTGTAAGAGAAAGAAAGAAGAGAACTCCACTCTTCCAACCCATTAGTGGCGACACAACCATCAATGATGTCACATAGTCTGCCTGCTGCCGCACTCCTCGCACCCTTTGGAATGTGACGCAGAACACGAACTGTGTCCCTAAGTGTTGCAAGCTGATCGAGTAATATGCAACGGTCGCAAGACTGCGGATTAGCTGCTCCCGGCGTTGATGGGGCAATAACCGGTGCGGCAACGGACGGTG